CCAAGGTTTTTTTTTTTTTTTTAGCTGTTAGACTCTTTTTTAAAAGTCATCTGAATGGTAGCCTTTTGATTTCAAAAGATCACTAGCAGTTATATGGAGGAAGAACTGGAGTGAGGCCATATTAAAAACAGGGAGATGAGTTAGGAGATTTTTTTTTATGTATTTTATTAAGATACTTAAAAACAAAAAAAAGTCCTCTCTTAATTTTCCACCAAAAGTCATATTATGATGACCAGTGACCTTGGGAAATTTTCAAATTAAAGCACTTTAAAAGAGGTTCTCCTAATGCTAAAACTTAAAAAAAAATCTTTTCATCAAAAACTTTTATTATGGTGGCAATTTCCATGTAAATCCTTAATGTATTTATTTCAAGAGCCTATTATGATAGTTCTTATAGAATTTTTTAAAAGTTTACTCATTCTGTTAATTGGGAAAATGTTTCATGTGATTAGCCTTTGGCTAGCTCTTGTAAAAAAAATTATATATGATATGAAAGAAAATATTAATTTTGTGTATCATCTAAATGTTTTTCCTAAAATATCAGTTTTATTTCTTTACACTCAGTAATCATATAGAACATTGCTTATTTTCATTTAAACATGTACCCTAAAGAAGCAATAATTGTTGTTGTTTTGGAATACTTGTTCAGTTAAACTGATTTCCTTAATCGCAGTTAGTGGGTAGGAGTAGAAATAGAAAATATTTGCCAACCTTGAAAGGAATCTAAATTTTACCAACATATGAATGTGGATCAGGAGACTCAATTGGTAAAAGTTACAATAGACACACACTAGAAAAAATAGAACAAAGACATTTTCTCACACATTCAAAATGTTAAAGGTATTTCTCACTTGATATATGTGATCTCATAAGGAGAATATATTAAATGAACTGTATCCTCAAATTGCTTTTGTGTTCTTTCTCAGGAGAAAAAAATAAGGAATGGCAATTTAGGGTCAAAAATAATGCCACAAACCAAATTTAGCTTTAATTACTGTCTAGCCGTAAGAAGGAATAAACTATTCAGCCAAGACCAAGGTTCTTTGATCTCACATTTCAGCCTTCTTGTCCTCCAGATGAATGAAATGGTCTTTCCTCAAATGTTCACCAGGCCTTTTACCATTTGATAGGACAATTATTTTTAAGAAGGTTTAAAATGTGATCTGGAAAACCACATTGACTCTATGTGGCATATTTGCTATTCTTAGCCTGGTTGAATAAGCTGGAAGTGGATGAATAATGCAGGTTAGAAAGAAAACAGATGCTAGATATTACAAATAGGAAGGTTTTCCAGCAATGAGACTTTCATTTTAGGACTAGATTTTCGTTGGCACTTTTGGCATTATGATGATTATTGTTTTTCTCTCCAGCTGTTACACATCTGCATTGAAGGCTGGGGCAATTGGCGCTGGTCAGAGCCCTTCAGTGTGGACCATGCTGGGACGTTTATTAGAACTATTCAGTACAAGGGTCGTACTGCTTCGCTCATCATCAAGGTCCAGCAACTCAGTGGAGTACAAAAACAGGTGAGTTCCTTTCTGTTCATGACCCAGATGACTCTTAATTATTTGGTGTAATTAATGGAAGGGAAGTGTAAAGAAATGAAAATAATCACTTAAAAAATCACAGGACTGAGCCAAGTTATGCCTACCATTCCCCTGCACATGAGCCCTTAAAAAGTGCTGGTTGATGATTGTGATGATGATGGTGGCTTCATCCCCCTTGTCCCAAGCCTTTTACAAGAGCTGCTAACGAGCAGTAAAATTTACTGATTTTCATTTCACCTCTTCTCCCTGTCACCACCTACCTTCTGGTGGAGGTGCTAATGAGCTGTGAAATGGCCAGAGGGTCTTTATGGAGAAGAAAAAAGAAGCGAAGGATGGTGAGGACTCTGGATAATCCAACAGTGGATAACCAGGAGTTGATTCTCATACGTGCAAAAATAATCTGCAAGGTGTTGTGATAGTCTCCCACGACAGAGCGGGCCTGAGTCTCCAGCAAGCTTTCTTTTCCTAGGAGTTAATATTAACTGCAGTAAAAATTCACTGCAGTCTAACTGTTGGCATATAAAACCTCAGCTCTCAGCACATATTTTTACGTATTTTATAAAACTTCCTTTTGGCTGTTTTTGAAGTTCTAAGACTGCAAAGGGGGGAGAAAAGTATCTAACGCTTTTTTGTGTTCTTAAGATGTGAAAATGTGGTTTTTAAAAGATGTTTTTCAAGCGTGGAGCATATGACAAGAGTAGAAAGAAAAAAAGGAAGTATTAAAATCTGAAAACTGGCTTCACTGCACACATAGTAACTGGATTTGTCATAAGAGTTTTAACATATACATCTGCATCTGGACTGTAACAGTGGATCCAGAGCTTATGTGAACTGGGGACATGATAGACACAGCTTTGGGACCCTAGAAAAGGAAAAAGGGAGCTTTTCATATTGGGCGTCAGAGGCTCCTCCGTTGCTGTATGCCGGGGGGCAGGCAGGAAGCAGCTGGTGAGGGCAACAGTAGGGCCCATACCATATACATTCTTGGGCTGCACCTAGTCAAGGAGCTGGACTTCGGGGTCTCATTTTCGTGGGCAACAGAAGTGAAAAGAACACTAGCAGAGGAGTCTCAGGAAGGGAGCATGGAAGAGTCTTCCCAATCACCCGACCACTCCTCCTAATGTTTGTTGATTGCCCACCGTAGGACGGGGTGAAAAGCACTAATCATGTGACACAGTCTTCACTCTTTTAACTGAAAACTTACAGAAACCCAACAATGCATACAGCAGACAGTAAGTGTGAGGGAATTTAGAGGTTTCACTAAGAAGACGGCTTGAGCTGGGCTTCGGAAAACATGTAGAATTTGGATTAAGAGTCGGAGTTGGCAGTGTGGGATAAACAAAGATACGCATATGGGACAAATGGGTCTTACCCAAGGACTCTTGAGGAGACCAGCCTAGGTAGTGTGGGCTTTGAGCTGGGAAGTCATAAGAACAAGAAGTGTCACTCCCACCTGCCCTCAGAGCTCTCTTATGTGGACAGGCTCCCAACAAATACCTGCCCATTACATACAGGTTTTCTGAACCTGCCATTCACAGTCTCTCAAGAATGCCTCTCTACCCTCCCGTTCACCAGTGTGCCTGAGAAACGGTCACTCAGCATCCACTTGAATACTCCAAATGGTGAGAGTCTCATTCTCTCCCATGGCAGCCCTTTCCATTGTCCGTTACTTCCAGCTATTCATGAAGTTCTTTCCTAATCTTGAGCCAAAATCTGTCCCCATTCAGCCAGTGTTCACCATTCCTCAGAACTTGTGAGGCATACCCAGGAGGCACACAACTTGTTACCTCTCTTCTGTACTAGGGCCCTCCAAAAACAGGGGAAGATTTAGCGTATTTCCCCTTAGTTTCTTTCCCTCTAGGCTAGTGGTTTTCAAACTTGAGCATTGATCAGAATCCCCTGGAGGACTTGTTAAAACTGCTTGCTGAGTCCCACCCTCAGCGTTCCAGACTCAGTATGTCTTGGGTTTAGCATGACAAGTTGTATTTCTAACAAGTTCTCAGGTGCTTTGTCTACCACGGCTCTGGCTTACAGCTTCCCAATTCATTCAGCTCTTTGGCATGTGGTTGCTAGAACGTTTACCGGTAAATCAGTGGAATGGCAGGGTCCTTCCTGGCCCACTGTCCTAACGCATTAAATTTTAGTGCAATTACAATAATATTCCCAGGCACAAGTAATGCTAGTTGGACTTTCTTGTGTTTCTATATTAATGCCTCATCTTGCCACCAATATTATCTGTTTTCAAGAAATGGTATTAAATTTCAGGGATAAATTAATATATACAGTGTACCTGAGCAGGTAACTATTACAACAGTATACCGTAAGTCAAAAAAGTTAGTTGTGAAAAATCCATTTTTTTAAATTCTCACAAAATTTTACCTACTTTTTTTTTCTGATCACAAAAGATTTCTCAGCCCTAGTACTTATTACCTATATGACCTTAGGCAAATTCCTTAACATTTCTATACTTCATATTCCTTTTATAAAAGAAATTACCCAATAAATATTAGTTCACAGTTATTTTTATATTAATTATTACAAAATATACCTGGAAACACAGAAAAGTCTTATGAAGAAAGTAAAAATCACCCATAAATCTACCACTCAAAAAATATATTCTGTTATTACTTTAGTGTATTTTTTCTGCTCTTTTTTTAGTGCTGATAATTTTTTAACCAACGTGAGATCTGATTGTAATTACACTTTTCAACTCATTTTTTCATTTGACAGTATATAATGCTTATTTTCTCAGATTATCTAGAATTCTCGAGTTATCCCTTTAATGGTTGCATAATGATTTATCATATGGCATATCAAATCACATCTAGACATTTCCTTGTTGTTGGACTTTCAGTTAATTTTCAGTTGGTCACTATAATAAATCCTTAAATAACTATCTTTGTATATTAATATATGACCAAATTTCTGAGTCTGTCCTTAAAATAATTGCTATAAAATTTAATTACCCGAACAAAAGAGTATGAATGTTTTTGTGGTGCTTGATGCACATTCCCAAACTAAAAACATGTACTTTATTCCTTATACAAAATTCTTTGTTTTGTCTTACCAGAGTCTTTTTGGGCTATACTAAGCTTTTAAATAACTCAATATATATTTGTCCTTAAACTTCTGCTGATTTCCTGAATTTTTCAAACCATTAGCATTTTGTAAAATCTTAAATATTTATAAGAAGTGTTCAAATCAGAACTGAGGAAAAATTTCCATACATTGGAAGTTGAAGGAATCCTTGTAATCACTCTCGCTGTTAATGTCATCACTGTAGATTTTAACGCATCTGGTGCCAAATTACATTTCAAGACTTTTCGAAATGTTATTTGTACTGTTAAATGGTCATAATCCTTTTCTGTGGGGAATGCCTCTCACATCTTTCTCTGCTTCTACCTTGCTTGTAATAAATACTCTTAAAAAAAAAAAAGTCAAATCTAGCCAGGCAGGTAAGGACTATATGGAGAGCAATAAAAGAGGCATAATCCTCACTCCCAGAACATTTACCTCTTTGAAGGGAAGTGTCTTCTTCTCCTACAGGAACTGGGAAAGTCCATTTTATGTTCCCACAATCATGGGCAGATATGCAGATAACTTATATTTTGAGTTTTAGCACTTCTTATCATCAGATGAAATTGAGCTCTGCATTAGGACCATTTTTAAAACTGAGCAGAGCAGGGAAAAGTGGAACAAAGCAATTCACTTAACCTAGAAGGAAGCAAATGGAAAATGGTTCATCAGGAACTCGGGTAATATGAGGTTCAACAGACCACCCCTGCCAACCTCAAACCAACTGTTCATGTGTCAGTGTTGTGAAAATGCTTCCTAGACAGTGTTTTTCAGCCTCTCATCTCTCTCTCTTTCCCCATCTCTGTCTCGGTCTCTCTTTCTTTCTCTCTCTCTCTCTCTCCCTCTCTCTCACACACACATACACACATAAACACACACACACACACACACAGGTAAAAATATATTACTTCTTTTTAAATTGGATTTTTTTTTAATGCTCAGGGTAGATTAACTAGCATTCAGATTAGCTGTAGTGAAGCTACATCAGAGACCCAGGATTTCTGCAATTGGCCTGGCTAGGAAGGAAGATGAGGAACCAAGCTTCCAGAATAGGTTCGTGGATTCCTGCCTCCCTTACGACTTGGCTTCTCTCCTTCTGCCGACTTGGGCCTGGAAATTTGCAATAAACTGCAGCTGCCTAACTACCAATCCCCATTTGGGGAGCTGAGTGTGTGCAGCTCCCTGATGTACCTTAACCACGTCAATATACCACTGGACAACAGAGAACTGGCTAAGGCTTGTTTGAACACTGGCGTTTGGTTATCTGTACATCTCTCACTTCCCCAGTTGAGTGAAAATTGACCACTGTAAAGTTTCTCAGGAACTCTGTACGTTACACAACTACTTAGGTACACGTATTTGTGTCCATGTTTTCCATCCCTTCGTTGAGGAAAGCTTTATCCCTCTAAAAACTTAAATGTACATATGAATGTATGCATATATATAGATACATATTTGTATCTTTATACATGCACTTTTAATCATGGTTCAGATATCATTTTCCAGTGCATCTGGTACTCTGGAGTTATTCTTTAATATCACTATTCTTCTTGGCACTGATCTAATAAGAGTTCTGAAACCTGCTAAGTAAAATCATATGTGGAAATCTTCAATACACATCTTTGTGGCTTTGGGGAAAGAGGGGAATTAGTGTGAAACCTGGAAATGTGTATTAAAGAGAAAGCTGACATTAAAAAAAAATTAAGAAGCTGTCTTCAACTGATGAATTAGTCTTGAAATTCTAACCATAATTTTCAAAATAACGGCATTGTAAGTGTTGCCACTCTGAAGAAAAGCAGACATGGCTCTCACTGAACCCTACGTGGGAGCAGCCATGAAGACCCCACTCCAAGGAGTCGCCATTTTGGATTTTCCTTCATCCAAGCAGCCTTCCCTCCCTGGCCACTTTTAAGGGTTTTTCTTTTTATCAAATTTGAAAGCCTATTTAATAGGCTTTTTAGTTGAAAATGAAACTATAAAAACCGACCAAGAGGATCTTTGTCTTTAAACAAAGTGAGTCCCAGATGGTTGTGGAGATTCTGTGGTTTCTGTGAGAGACAGCCAAATTCTCTCCTAAATCACGTGGGGCTCAAAGGTTCTGAGCAAAGGCAGTGAGCACACATTGCCAGGCCTGGGCACATCCAGAAGAAGAACCGAGTCACATACTGCCTCAACTTTCAACTGTTTGCTCGAAGTTAGGCAGCACTGTGGCACCATAAGGCTTCTCATGGTGTCTAGCAGCCCCTCGTATTTGCTCAAGAAAATGTGGGACTCATAGTTCAATGGAATTCTGTGTTTGTTATTTTGAAAACATTGTTTTAAAAGATAATAATGGCCAGGGGACCTAGGGGAAATGTAACAGTTAAGCACAGCTTGGTTTTTACAGATGTGTTCCTTCTAAAGAAAAGTCAAAGGAATAGGTAGTTAGAAAATAAATGTTTAAGAAAGTACTAAACCTCACTATTCAAATAATGCTAGTCAACAACATGACCTTAGTTTTTGGTCTATTAATCTAGCAGACTTGTTTTGGGTGAGTAATAATTCATTCATAAATACTTAGTTACATTTATTTGTGTTAAATAATAGTTTTGTTTAAAATGATGGTTACAGAGTATTCCTAGCGACATGGGAAAATATATCACTTAGGATGCTTTCAGCGTGAAGTTACAGAATAGGGTTCTTAATCTTCTTAGCAAGTTAATGAGGCAGATACTGTTATGTTCCTATTGTGTAAATATTATCTCATGTAACCAGAAGGAAGAAGGCAGGTCCAGTGTCATTTAGTTAATTAAGCAACTCAGTGCAGTGTCTGCTTCTCTGCTGTTCTCTTGAATTTGTCTTCCTAGTCTCAGGATGGTTGCATAAGCTTTGACTATCCTCTCATAACATCTTTCACGGCGGAGAAAAGGAGGACTTTCTCTTCTCAAATTGTCACCCTTGTTATCAAGGAGTGAAATCTTTCCTAGAACATTTTTACCAGTTTTCCTTTTTTATGTTATTAACCAAAACAAAGTTCCATGCTCACCTCTAAACTCATCATTGACAAAAAAGGGAATATAATGAGCAGGACTGGCCTGAACCAGTTCTGGTCCAGCTCTCGGGGCCAGGAGAGGTGGCCACCTGCCCTGGTGCTGTGCTGCTTTTTGAGACCTAAACCAAGTTGGGGATTTTAATAGCAAGGGGAAAGGAGAGACCAGCTGTGTGGAATGGAACCAGTGGTTTTGGCCACATTTACCTTATGATGGGCAGCCTTTATTCTCCTTTTTTTTTTGTGGTTTCTATGTTTTATTAATTAGTACAGATTAATTTTTTGAAATATGGAACATCATGGTGATTATCAACACAGACTCTGAGCCAAACAATCTGTGTAATATCAGGCAAGTTGTTCAGAATCTCTGTGCCGCTCCTTTTTCTTATTAAGATGAAGAGTCATTGTAGCACCTGTTTTATGTGGTTCCTGTGAGAATAAAAGAGAGAATTTGTGAAAATGCTTTGTGTTAGGGTTCTCCAAAGAGACAGAACCAATAGGATGTGTGTGTGTGTGTGTGTGTGTGTACATATGACTGCACATAGAGAAGGAAAGGGACAGATGTATTATAAATTGGCTCACATAATTATGGAGGCTGCACAGTCCCACGGTCTGCCGTCTGCAGGTTGGAGAACCAGAAGAGCTGATGTGATGTGTAGTTTCGGTCCAAGAACCAGCAGACCGGTTTACCAAGAAGGGCTGATGTTTCAGTCCACGTCCAAAGGCTGGGAAAGACCAGCTCAAGCAATCAAGCAGGTGAAGTTCCTTCCCACTCAGGCTCTTTGTTCTTTCGGGTCTTTGATTGATGGCATGAAGCCCACCCATGCTAGGGAGAGTCTACCAATTCAAATATTAATCTCACCTATAAACACCTTCCCAGACACACCCAGCATGGTGTTTAACCAGTTGCACACCCTATAACCCATTCAAGTTAACCCATTAAAGTAACCATCATATCCTTAGACCAGTAAATATGCTATATTTGTATATTACTTATTACTATTTTATAACCTGGGAAAATATTACAAACAAGGAAATCCAGTATGTGTAAGTTCTGCCTTCATATAGAAGAAGGATTTGCTTTCTAAAAAGCATTCACTACATAAGAATAAATTTTGCATTATCTTTTCAATTTCCACCAATTGAAGAGAGTTTTTTTTTAATACAAGATATATTGTGTCCTTTTTTAATTTTTAGTTTTATTTTGGGGGGAGAGGGAGTTATTAGTTTTGTTTTGTTTTATTTTAACAGAGGTACTGGGGATTGAACCCAGGACCTTGTGCATGCTAGACACACAGTCTACCACTGAGCTATGCCCTCCCCCTAAAAAGATATTTCTTAAGGCCTACTCTGAACTATACGCTTAGCTGGATGAAAATTTGAATAATCCATGGGTTTAATGGATAATTCTGTGTGTTTTATAAAGATAAATGATTCTACAGTATAGGAAAAACCTGAGTAAGATAAAATATAATTAGACTTATGAGTTAAAAGTGGTTTGTATTATCTGTTTATGCAGAGATCTTGTATTGCATATGAGTACAATAAACCCTTGGGAATCAGCCTTGGGGGATGGACTGATCACAACTGTTATCTCAGCTATGAGAACTGAAGTCTTGTTCTCAGTCCCCATCCTTTGTGCTTGCTGCCTTGTTGGATACCACTGACCACCACTTCCTGTTGGTCTCTTCTCTCATGACTTCAGCCACATTGCTTTCTCCTGATTCACCTCCACAAAGAAGGAAATCCAGTATATGAAAGTTCTCTCTTCACATTACAGAAGGATTTGCTTTCTCAAAGCATTCACTGCATAAGAATAAATTTCGCATAATCCTTTCAATTTCTACCAATGGAAGAGATATTTCTCCTGCTTTCTCTTCCTTTCACACTTCTTCTCTAGCCCCCACTCTGCTTCTCACCTTGGGTCTGCCCTGAAAGTGTTGGTCAGTTGCTCGGTTTGAGCCTCCACCCTGTTTTCCAGATAAAGAGTCTGTGCAAAGCTTTGATTTTCCAGATCTTTTATCTCCAGCCCCACCTTCACTCTCAAGTACATGACCAGCATTTCTAGCTGGACATGGATCCTGCCTACCTGTCTGTGCTTTGAATACCTCAAACAACATAACCAAAGAAAAATCCTTTCCCTCCTTCCAAGCCTCTTTTTCTTCTTGAACTTTCTAAATAAGCTAATGGCTTCATTTTCTTTGCATTAAAATCAACATCATTTACTCTGAGCAGTTATATACAGGCATGCCATGTTTTATTGCACTTTGCTTTATTGCACTTTGCAGATACTGCATTTTTACACATTGAAAGTTTTTGGCAACCCTGCATCAAGCAAGTCTGTTGGAGCCATTTTTCCAACAGTGTTTGCTCACTTCAGGTCTCTGTGTTACATTTTGCTAATTCTCAAAATATTTCAAACATTTTCATTTCTTATATTTGTTATGGTGTCTGTGATCACTGATCTTTGATGTTACTATTGCAAAAAGATTATAGTCCACTGAAGACTCAGATGATGGTTAGCATTTTTTAGCACAAAAAATTTTAATTAAGGTATATACATTTTTTTAGACAATGCTTTGCACACCATCTATTATAGTATAGTGTAAATATAACTTTTATATGCTCTGGGAAACCAAAAAATTCACGTGACTCCCTTTATTGCAATATTTGCTTTATTGCAGTGACCTGTAACCAAACCCTCAATGTCTCCAAGGTTTGCCTGTATTTCCAGTTTATGGAATCAAGATTGATGAAGTCTCATTGATTGATTGATTGATTGATTGTCTTTTCCAGATTATCATCTGTGGAAGACAGATCATCTGTAGTTACTTGTCTCAAAGTATAGAACTAAAAGTTGTTCAGCATTACATTGGTCAAGATGGACAAGCTGTGGTTCGAGAACATTTTGATTGCCTCACAGCCAAACAGAAACTGCCTTCATACATCCTAGAAAACAGTGAACTGACTGAGTTGTGTGTGAAGGCCAAAGGAGATGAAGACTGGTCGAGAGACGTGTGCCTGGAATCCAAGGACCCTGAGTATAGCATTGTCATTCAGGTATGAGAAGTAATACAATCTAAAATAGAGCAGGTTTAAAATGTAAAATTTCTCATTATGCTCTTTATTCAGTGCAGCATTTAATTTATTAAGAAGGGATCTATACAGAAGAGGGGATGCCTGAAATAATAAAAAATGGCTTTGAATATTACTTCTCAAACTTTTTCCTCCCTATCCCACAACAACACATTTATGTCAGTTCCCATAGTTCTCATAGCCAAGACTCTACCCCTCCCAGATGGAGATGAGTTATATCTTGAAAAAGATTCTGATGCACCAGGGCTTTGAGGGGGTGGGAGGGCATAAAAGTTGTCCTCCCCATGTGAGAATCTTTATGGTGATCTGCTACTTTTTTTAGCAATCTCTCAGTCTCCACCATCATCACTTTCATTCCCATAAAGGACAAGTCCTGTCTTTTGTTCTCCCACTCATGCTTGTATCAGCCTCTCTGCATACGAATCCCTTCATCTTTCTGGAAGGAATTGGCCCCATTGACTCACTGCACATTCACTTGATGCCATAATGAAGTCTGCTTTTGCTTAGTTATTCTTTAATGGCTTTTTTCTGTAACTTTAAACTTTTTTCATCCTGCACGCTGATATCATATCTGCGCCTTATTTTGATTAATTAGTGAACCATGTAGTATTTAATAGGATTCTTTTCTATCTCATATGCAGGTGCCATCTTCAAACAGTTCCATTATTTATGTTTGGTGCACAGTTTTGACTTTAGAACCCAATTCTCAAGTGCAACAGCGAATGGTGAGTGCTTTCCAATCCTAAAATATGGTATATGACTCTGACCTTTCCTGTTCTGAAATAAATTAAGGTCAGAATGACCCAGGGAAGAGATTTATTACAAGTTTGTTTCAGCATCAAACAGCTGGAATACTGCAACAAAGCAAATATGAAAGTTGTTCTGTCCTTTTATTTTTATAGATTGTGTTCAGCCCTCTTTTTATCATGAGGAGTCATCTTCCAGACCCCATTATCATACATTTGGAGAAAAGGAGTCTGGGATTGAGTGAAACACAAATTATTCCAGGAAAAGGACAGGAAAAACCACTGCAAAACATAGAACCTGACCTTGTACATCACCTGACATTTCAAGCAAGGTACTGGAAAAGTACTTACGTTTTCCTAAGAGAGAGTCAGTCAAAAAATAACCTTGTCCTATTGAGGGGGAGAGGGAGGATGGAGTTTTTTTGTATGATTCCTTATCTTATAAGAAGATTATTGTAAAATTGCCCTGCCTAGTGTTCTCTTACTCTCATCTGTACATTAAGATAAAATTCAGCCCCTTTATAAATAAATAAGAATCATCAGAAAATTTAATTGACACATAATTTCTGTGGTGGAATAAAAAAATGAACAGAGCACTGGGGAGGAAAGGCCATGGCCCAGATCATCCCCAAAACTGTGTCATCACCCCTAAATCACCAAACATTGACTCAGTCTCACAAAAGGAAGCGTTGGTTTGTAATGCATCTAATACTCATTCTTGTTTTTTCTCTCCATTTCCTAGAGAAGAAGATGACCCTTCACATTGTGCTGTTCCCATTTCAACATCTCTCATTAAGCAAATAGCCACCAAGATACACCCTGGAGGCACACTTAATCAGATCCTTGATGAATTCTACGGGCCAGAAAAGTCCCTTCAACCTGTGTGGCCCTATAATAAAAAGGACGCTGACAGGTAATGTTCTCCAGTGCTGTTTTTCTACAAACATTTCCCAATCTTAAGAAATAAACGACCATTCACAAAAATGTTAGATACGGGGGGTTTTCAAAAAGATGTTTGCACGTATGTGTCAGATTCTGACCTTTTATCATCTGGTAGATACGTTTTGTAGATTGCTTCTTTCCTAATGTGGAACGTAATTGCATGAAAAGTTCCTTTCTCCAGGATGCAAATATAGCATAGCATTGCATGACTCTGGTGTGAGGAAGTGTCACACTGGAGTGTTGCGTGTCTGGAATCCTTAAATATGTTTCATGAATCCTGAAGTCATCGCGTTTCATTGTGTCTCTTGGATGTGGTGTTTGGCACAGGAATGAACAGCTGAGTCAGTGGGACAGCCCGATGCGAGTGAGGCTGTCAGCCTGGAAGCCGTATGTGAGGACCTTGTTGATAGAGCTGCTCCCCTGGGCCCTGCTCATCAATCAGTCCACGTGGGACCTCTGGCTGTTTGAAGGAGAGAAGATTGTTCTGCAGGTTCCTGCTGGCAAAATTATTATCCCTCCTAATTTTCAGGTACTGTAACTTTTTTTTTTAACTAATATGAATTCTTGTCTTTCAACAACCAGCTTTTATTCTGAGGTTACATTTATGTTCTCAACAGAATGAATCAGTTGTGGAAAACTGTCCGCCTAGATGCATGTGTAAGGGGTATGGAATGTTCTCTGATATTAGAGATACTTCATAGGTCTTTTTTTTCTTCCCATCAGCAGTATTCATGCTTGAATTATCATTAAATTTGATAACTTTACTAGTTACAGGCTTATTTCCATTGTGTACAGAATGTTTGACAAGTATTCTGGCCTACTCAGGATATGTTAAGAATATAGAGTCGTATTCTGTGCTAAGCCACCCCCTAGATATTTTTGTGATTTTTGCAGAAACTCTCTTAAGATTTGCAAGGCGGGTAAGAATTAAAGATTTCTGAACAACTGGTTTTGTCAAGGCCCTTTTTCCTTTGTAAGGGGACTTAACTGTCCGTAACCGTGGAAGCCCCCTCCCCCGTTATCGATAATAGCAACATAGAATCATTGCTAACACAGAGGAAAAATCTCATTGTAAAACAGAATTTCACAGGAAGATTTTATGTTCCATCAGAGGAGAGCTTTCTTGATAAGGCTAGCCCAGTTCAAGAAGACACATAAATCTGTAAGAAAATAGAGTACAAGGAATTCCTAAATAAAGTGTTTTCCTGATAGGGAACAATTTGAGAGTACTTTTTCTTGACCTCCAGTTTATAAACATCTTTATTCAATTGCATTTTTCCTTTTTTTTTTTTAATAATCACATGATGTTACCTTATGGAATTGGAATGTTGACCTACATGTACCTAATATTGCATATTATTCTCTTGTCAAATGAAATGAAACCTTCGGGTTTTAAGCCGTTGGTATTTACAAGGCAGAAGCAGTTTGGGTTGATGTTTTTTCCCTCCTTCCATAAATATGAATTCCATTGTGAAGCAAAGAAAGCATTGGGAACTAAAATAAAATGTACGTTGCCATTATCAAAAAAAAAAAGGAAAGAAAACTGTAAAGGGATTGGTCGCCTAAGTAGATCAATTATATAACACACAAAAAAATTCCTATGAATTGAGGTAAAAATATCAAAGTTAAGAAAAATACTTTATAATTGAGGCATTATTTTTCCAGGAAGCTTTTCAAATTGGAATATACTGGGCAAATACAAACACTGTGCACAAGTCAGTAGCAATTAAACTGGTCCATAACCTGACGTCTCCCAAGTGGAAAGATGGAGGTAATGGTGAAGTTGTGTCATTGGACGAAGAAGGGTTTGTTGATGCTGAAATCAGACTTGGTGCTTTCCCAGGACATCAGAAGGTAGGATCAGAGTCTGTGGTTTGGGGGGAGTAGCGTGCCATCCCCTCAACCTGTTTAAAATGAGTCTATGCTTTTCTTCTTCAACCCCTTTTTGGTATTACTTGTTCTAAACAATTTATAACAGTGAAACGTGATTTCTTAGACCTCTCTGTTTTACAATGTCTTTTTTTTCCTTTACCAGTGATAATAGTTGTGTCACATAATTTATCCAATAACCACTCTATTTCAGAACACTCAGCAGTCACTTGATTTATTGTATGTGGGGGAAAAATGAACTTCCTCCAAAATATCCACAGATTGTACTTGGCCTCCTTGTTTTAGAGCAGGAAGCAGAGTTGCTAACATTCTGAGTATTGAGTGAAAAGACAAAGGCTCCTGCAGCAAAGGTTATTTTCCTGGAAAGGGCGTCCTGACAAAAATGAGGTGGATCAGTTCTGATTTTCCCATAGAACCAACATTATGAGAGAGAGTTGTATTCTTTTTTTTTTATAATTAAAAAAATTTTTTATCTTTAGTTGAGGGGGAAGGTAATTAGGTTTAGTTAGTTAGTTATTTTAAATGGAGTTACTGGGGATTGAACCCAGGACCTTGTGTGTGCTAAGCATGTGCTCTGCCTCTGAGCTACACTCTTCCCCTCTGGGAGTTGTAATCTTGAACAAGGGACTGGTACCCATGTTTGTAAAGATGTGAATACAAAAAACATACTTAGTCAGTTATTTAAGTACAAATGGTATGTGCCTTTCAGCATAAATTTTTTCTCAAGTAGTGTATGAAAACCAATTAAACTGAGTAACATAGTAACAAATCACAGTTAACTGGATGTATGAAAGTACAGTATCAACGTGTACCATGTAGAAATCTCATGCTGTGCTTAAGAATATCTTCATTATTTTAGCCGTCCCAAATCAGTAAAAGAAGGGATACTTCATCAGAGTGGTATAATTCAGAATGACCTTTCTCTGGGGAGAAGTTAGATTTTGACAGGCATCTTTGAAGAGCCTCTTGAGACAAGTTAGGGTCATTTGATGACTTTTTAAAAATAAATTTCTCTGATACAAAGAAGTTGGTCTGCAATCTTCAAGGCTGGTATCCATTTCCTCTAAGTTGTCTGGGCAACACATGTTTATGCTCTGCTGGCCAAAATACTGTAACATGGGTGTAAATGGCAAAGAGCTGTAAGCGTGAATCACCCAGAGTTGAATAGCTGTAAGTTGAGAACTACCATCAAAACCTGGAGAAAAAGTTATGATATACAGTCAAACACCCAGTGCCTCCAGCATCTCACAAAGTGGCCACAGCAAATGCAAATAAATGTTGGTGAATGAATGAACTGCTGAAAATGTAATATTACTATGTTTGTATCTCATTATTCTTTAGCAGTGATTCTCAAACTTTTTAGTTTTAGGGCCGCTTTACACTCTTGAAAAATACTGAGGACCTCCAAAAACCTTTTGTTTATGTAGATTATAGCTATTGATTTTTATCAAATTAGAAATCAAAGCAGAAAATTTTAAACACAAGAATTCACGAACATACATTTCATTAGCCATAAGAACTCTGACATCATATGTCATACAGCCTCTGGAAAACTATACTGTACACTCAGGAAGAAATTAGAGTGAAAAAAAAATAGCATCTTACTGTTATTGTAAAATTCGTTTTGACCTTGGGCCCCTGCAAGGATCTCAAAGACCATTCCCTCCAGGTATCCGCAGACCACACTTTGAGAAGTTCTGTTCTGACATGACCACTTACTAGATGGGTATCTTTAGGTACATAATACCGTCTCTGAGCATCAGTTTCTCATACAGTGTGGTAAGACAGTGAGGTGATACACGTAGTGGTTAAGAGCAACACCATGAAACCAGAGTGCATGGTTTCTCACTTCAAGCCCTGGACCCTCTTTTTCTTTGTGACCTTGGGCAAGTTGCTTACCAATTTGTGCCTCATTTTTTGCTCTTCTGTAAAATGGGGATAGTAGTAGCTACCACATGTGGGTGTAGTGAGGATTCCGCAAGTTAATATGCATAAAGTACTTTAAACTGGTGAAGCACAAGAAAGCAATATGCGAGGTCCGTCATTACTGTCTTCTTCATTATCGCCATCAATATTACTGTCAGAACTCCCCGTGGTCCACATACACCTACGGTGAGGTGGTTGCTGGGGTGAGCATGAGGAGGAGGGAGGGAGTGCTGGACGGACTTCTTTTTCTTTTCTTTCTTTCTTTTTTTGTATTGAAGTATAGTTTACAGTGTTGTGTCGATTGGATTGATTTGTTTATGTTGGAAAAGATAAGTGGCATCGGTTTAGGTGTAAGTGCTGTATAAATAAATATTTTGTGAAGGAATTGGTTAAATAACTTGAAAACCACACAGTAGCCACTAAAGCACCCTGTTGAAAAGTAGATACTGACAGTTTTGAGACTGAAAAGGAACTGTATGAAGTACTGTGGAACAAAAGGTAAAATTGACATAGTCCTGGGCAAACCAATGGCTAAAATGACCTTTCGAAAATAATCAGATTTTTCTATGCGATGTAACATTGTTTAAAGTACTCTTTCCTCAACTGTCCCGCAGTTATGTCAGTTCTGCGTTTCCTCCATGGTGCAGCAAGGTATACAGATCATTCAGATTGAAGACAAGACTACAATAATCAATACCACGCCGTATCAGATATTTTATAAACCACAGTTATCTGTCTCCAAACCCCACTCTGGAAAGGAGGTAAGCAATTCAAACGTGACTGTTTTGTCTAAGTTTTGATAAATAAGTAATAATTAGATCAGCTTTTTTTTTTTAACCTAGAACAAATGAAAAGCTCACACAGAATCTAGGTAAAGATTCGTGTAGTTTTGCTTTCATTAAAACCGTGGCCGCACGGGCAGCGCTTCCAAGGTAACTAACGTGGAGACGTCCTACGAAGCCGCAGATCCCGGCAGCTGCGGGCGGAGAGCGGCCGCCGTCTGCCCGGAGGCTGCCGCGCACCCGGGCGCGCTCACTAAGGCCGGGCCGCAGCGGCGGCGGGAAGTGGGCCTGAGGTCCGTCCCGTGGAGAAGAACATCTGCTTCACAGGCTGTGCTGCCTGAAGGAGCCATGTGTGCAGAAGGCCCAGCCCAGCCGAGCCCCAGATCTGGGAGCACCGGGCTCTGTGTCCGCAAGGAGAGGAAATGGGAAAACAACGTACCAGCTCATTTATGTTAACGTCTCTATGGCAGAATATTCGGGAAATGAATCCAAGGAGGATTTTTTTTTTATTCAGTTCTTGATACAGTTCAGATGAACAGTTTCATTTTAAGAGAGTAAGGGGATATTTAAAAGGAGTTAAAAACAGAATATGCTAAGTGGTATGCTATTATTTTATGCTATTGAAACCATCATATAGAAAAGTATTATTTTTCTTTACTTTCATCTGCACTTATTGTTATCCCTTACTTTCAGCTCCTAAAAAATTACATTAGAACAATACACAAGGATGAAAGTCGATTACTCTTCTAAGCTTAGGAAGCATTATAGTATTTATAAAATGTCAGAATACTAGAATTTCATCTTGGGTCACTGAAGTACTGATAAAATAAATAGGTGACCAGAAGTCCCCTGTCAGGAAGTAAAGGTCAATGATAATTGAGCTGTAGTTGAGGATTTGAGGATAGAACCAGCCTGTGCCCTGATAATGTACCTGCTTCTCCCCACCCTGAGATTTTGGGTCAGAGCTTTCCAGACTGACACGTCCTCATCTGAATATGGGCACAATTCTCCATTCCTTGCAAGGTTTGGGTGAAGATTAAATGAGATGATATGAGGAAGAAGACTAGGCACTCAGGAAATGAGAGTTGCCGGAAACCCCCTCTACACCAGCTCACAATCGGCTCCTGGAGAGAAGCAGAAATCCTCGTTCTTTCTGCAGCCGAGGGGGCCCCTTTTTCCAACCCTGACCCTGCTTCGGGCAGGTGTGGGAATGTTTTAAAGACATGATAATCCCTACCCTCTCTAGGAGACTGTCTGAGACAGTGGGAGAAACAGCAACCAGGGCAGGGGGAAAGGCTGGCTTCCGGCCAGGCTCTGCCACACCCGGCTCCGTGCTGCTGGACAAATCATCGGCGCTCTAGAAAACAGCTCCCTCGCTGTGGAAGAGGAGGTGCCAGTAAATTATCTCTAAGGCCCTTTTTAAGTCTCAAATTCTGAGATTCTTCTCATGTGCCAGAAACCATTTGGAATTCTAACTGAGTGCTGGAGATCAGAGTTTCCTGCTCCCTCGGGATGAGCCTTCAAAAAAAATGCATCTTCTGAGCTCCCAGCTTACCTTCTGTATCTCATTCAGGTCTTCTTCCCAAGGTCCCCCAGGGCGCCCGCCACCCTCTCCGTCCAGCCATACCGTTCCAGGAGGACTCCCTCCCAACAAACGGCATTTCTGCCACCAGCATCTGGATTTTTTGCAATACCTGGGGGATATCAAGAACTTTACATCACCTCTTAAATCACACCAGCTCTATGACGTTTCATTATGCCTAGAAGAGCAGACCCTGCCTTCACTGCTTGTAATCATCTCATTAGGGCTTTCTCATGGGAACAGGTCTTCCAATATTACCATGTCCCCCACCTGGCTACCTCCTGAGAATACACGGTTCTGGTTTCTTAGAAGCTGTTATCTAAAAGCCTTAACTTCTCAGTGTGACTATAGTAACGGCGCTCTCTGCATTTTTTCTTTTTTCAGTATTTTCATGTTCCAGACAGCACTACTTTCAGCGTTTGCCCGGGTGGTGAGCCACCTGCTGTGACATCCAGCTCCCTCCCTTGCTGGGACTTAATGCCTGACATCAGTCAGTCAGCGTTGGATGCATCCCTGCTTCAGAAACAGATCTTGCTGGCTTTTTCCGCTGCCGCAGCTGCCGGCAGCTCACAGTGTTGGAGCCTGCCAGCTCTGGTCAGACCAGAGTTTCCCAGACAGAGTGTGGCCGTGCCTTTCGGGAATTGTAGGGAAAATGGATTCTGCACCAGGTAGTTTACGTTCATGTAAATGCCCTTCTTCGCTCATTCATCCAGGTGCCAGAAAAGACAGGATAGTTGCGGGGCTCACTGCATGTAAAATTAGGTTTGATTTTTATTTTCAGCGGCTTCTAGACATGGTCTACAACTGGGCAAGGGTTATGATCACACATAGGATGTCCCGGTGTACTACTGATGAGATTTTTCCCCTAACACATTCTATACCCAGGGAAAATGTGGTGTTTGTACCATAGAATAGCAGCACCTATCTATCATAATGAACAGATCGCCTTCTTTTATGACTTCTTAGCCTCTGTCAAGTGATAAGAAATAAAGGTTAAAATATGAGAGAGTCAAGTTGGAAAGCATTTTCTCTTCCGATATTTTACTTTTACTTCAAAATGGAATTTTTCCCAAAAAGTCATTGAGAGATAACTTAGATAAACACAAGTCACAGAAGACTCTGTTCTGGGTTGTTTCTGCACGCAAGTTGCTCCAATTACCAATTACCAATTATGCAAATAACAACCACAGAATCAAGCCAGAGACGTGTAATGGTTTGCTCATACCGGATTTTTATTTTGTGGTCGCTTTGCACACAGTACGTCCTTTCTGTAGCTGTCGGGAATAACTTATTTATGGTATATGTTAAAAGTACAAAAGAAAACATATTGTGACCTTATGAGAGGTACCTTATTCTCATGATTATGAATTTATAGACTTTATTGGAGATTTTAGCCATCTTAACTTTGATGTATATAGAGATTGCTAGAGGTAATATTTCAAAAGATAACTTCCTAACTCAAGTCATCCATAATGGTAAGGCTCTGTTCCCCACACAGATCCTTTCTTCCTTCACAACATTCACAAACATCCCTGATTTTATCAACACTTTCCATCTCTAACTCCAGAGGATTGGATGTCCTTAATGTTCTGGTTAGAGAAGTTAAGTGTGGTAAGTTTAAGGAAGTATTTTTGAAAGCAGTGTAAACCTATGTGTAGAAAACCAAACTTATTTTTAAAACTGAGAGGCAGAATTTAAAGTAACACAATGAGAAATTATGTTTAAGTTTCTAAGATTTTATTAATGTAATTTAACCTTATCTATAAATAATAAGATAGGTATTAGATTGAAAGTACCATATTTTAGTCCTGGTGCCCACTTTCTTGACTTTCAGTGAGACATTCTCTGAGGTTGGCCTGCCTGGCTCTTCCAGAATTAGGCTGGGAAAGAACTTCATTGTCAATCCAAAGATTATACTCTGAAGTGTTTCATCTCCTCCTCTTTGTCCTCCCCTCAGTACGACAGTGCACATGTGATGGTGTTTCCTCAAATGCTAATGGACAGTTCATCTTGACATCTCAGACAGATAGAGTGTTTGGGAAGGATTCACGCTGGCAAACAGGGTAGATGGTGAATGGGAAATTCTTTAGTGTGTTACTGACCGCTTATAATCGTGTAAACTAAGGGTCACATTTGGCAAGTATATGCCTTCTTTGTAATTTAAACTTAAGAGAGAATTCTTTTTCCTGCTTTGATATAAAACATTGTTTGGTGGTCTCTAGGTCTAAATGGGAGAGTTTCCCTCTGTCTGTTGTAGAGGGCAGCCTATGCCCGCACAGCAATGTTTCTGATGCCAAATAGGAAATACAGTTTTGCTCTTGGTAGTCACAATGGAGATCCTGTAAGGTGTGATGATCTTGTGAAAATGGACAGCAGACATAGTGAGCCTACCTACCTGTAGAACAAAAGCAGAGCAGACACCCAGATTCTCCAGTCGTCCTCCTAAAAGCACATCAGCTCCCCCTTTGCCAGAATTTACCAAGTGCTTCTGAGGAAGAAGGCAGCCCATCAGAAGAGATTAAAGCACATGTGCAGAGAGGGGAAAAGAGCAACAGGAAAAGCTAGCACGTCTGTAATTCTCTCTGAGTGGTAGAAGCTGCGGGATTTTTATTTTAAATAATTTTTCACATTTTTTTTAATATTTCGTATAAATACGTGTTACTATTGTCAGAAAAAAAATTAGCAAACCTATAACTAGTGCTTGGCAGTTAATAGATGAGAGGGCGGCCTCATTTCTCTGAAAACATTTCCTCTGATATATAAGAGAGATGTTACAGAGGTTCAGAGTATTGCAAATCCGAATGAACATGTACCAGGAGAGAAAGCATACATCTGTTTCTAAACCGTCTCTGTCCTGTGATCGGCTTCTCTTCCAGGGCGGTAGCACTGACGTATCAGGAACACTTGGGGGTGACCTATCTAACCCTCTCCGAAGACCCTAATCCTCGAATAATCTTCCACAACAGATGCCCAGTAACAATACTTATAAAGGAAAATATTAAAGGTATATGTTACAATATTGAATTTAAATAATATAAAACCTATCTTCTTTCTGGAGATTTTTGACTTAATAGTTTCCTGTGATCCTTAAATAAAAAATATTATTCTTTAAGTAAACTTCCAGAAGTTTCTCTCACCACTTACGTTTAATATCCCCAAGTCTTTGTCTTCAAGGCCTCGGTCTGCCTATGCCTTTTTTTTTTTCACTCTTAGATATTCCAAAGTTTGAGGTGTATTGCCGAAGAGTTCCTCCTGAGTGCTCAATCCATCATGAGCTGTATCATCAGATTTCCAGTTACCCAGACTGCAGGACCAGAGACATACTTCCTAGCCTCCTTCTGAGAGTGGAATTGCCGGAGGGAATAACGACCGAGTGGAGTGATGCCGTCGACATCAACCATCAGGGAACACAGGTCAGTGGGCTGCGTGTGTTCCTGCCAAAGCCCAAAGAAAAGGTCCCTTTTCGAGGGTTTCCATGGTTGTCTGTTTTTAAACATAGTTTTCTAAATGCTGAACTTCTTGTCTCTGTGTGAGGGCACACGTGTGTCCACTTTTACATCCTCATTTGGTTATGAATTCTCAAAACAAGCATGTATCTCCAGAGTATGCCCTACAGCTGTTTATGAGAGAGGAGCGCTTGGTAGAGCATCCCCCTCCTGGGTCAAATCCAAGGTCAAAAATGAAATTAAATTACTTACCTTCTGCCATAAAGAAGGTGGTCCAACTCCCCAGATTTTAGGACAACCATAATGCCAACCCTGGTTTAATTGCCTCTTTTGAAAATTTGCTAGTTTAAAAATATACGTACTTATCCCAGGAGTACATGAAACTTTGCAAACATAAGGACAGTTTTAAAAACCTGAACAGATCTATGTCCTGGTTTGTCTCTTGTCTTACTCTGGATGCTAATGATGTTGTTTTTGTTGAAAATGGCACAGGAACCTAGCATTTCCTTTCTGCTCTACTTAAATTTATCATTTTAAAGTACACTTCAGTGGCATTAAATACATCCACAATGTTGTAAAACCATAACCACTATCTATTTCCAGAAACTTTTCTTCATCCCAAAGAGATACTCTGTACCCATTAAGCAATAACCCCCCATTCTCCCCTTCCCCAGTCCCTGGTAATCTCTGTTGTGCTTTCTGTCTCTGGATCTGCCTACTCTAGGCACCTCATGTTAAGTGGAACCATACAGCATTCGTCCTCTGGTGTCTGACTTGTTTCACTTAGCATAACGTTTTCAAGGTTCAGCCATGTTGTAACGTTGTCAGAACTTCACTCCTTTTTATGGCTAAATAATATTGTGTACTTTGCAAAAGTTCTTTCACGTCTGTTAGTTCATTTAATATTCACAACAAGCTTTGAAGTAGGTCCTATTGTAATGGTTACAAAACACAAGTTATGAATGTATTTACAATAATGATAGTGGTTATTTCATAATCGCTTACTGTATACCAGGCATTGTGCTAATGAGCACTTTACATTCATTCTTATTTAGCCTTTGCAACAGTCATACAAGATAGGAACTGTCCTCTCCAGGTTACAGAAGTGAAAACTAAGGCGTCCAGAGGAAACGTGGCCTAAGTCCCACGTGTTCCCAGGGAAGGAACTTGTAGGAAGTAGCGTTCACGCGTAGTGGTCAGAGCACGTGCTTTGGAGTCAGGCAAGCCTTAACTCCCCTCTTCCCCCGTCCTGCTGGCACACTCTGCCTCATCTCTCAAGGGATCTCTCCACCCTGGTGAGGTCTCCTCCCCACCCCCAGGACCCCCTACATACTCCAATAACATTTGTAACATTTAATGGCACTTATTTCTGGAAATGATTTCCTACCAAGTCAGGATCCCTGGTGGTCAGATACCTGCCCTGTTCATCCTCGGCTTACAGCAGAGTGACTGTCCACACAGTCAGATGTGAATAAATATCAAACGAATAGATGAATGACTGAATAAATGAGTGAGAAGATGAGGTTCCCAAGAGAGATCTTGTGAAGGAGGGAAAGAAGGTCGCAGGCTATCCTTGGGAAACTCCAACATGTGAGTGTCGTGCGTAGCAGGGGGAGAGGCCGGCGGGGTGGAAACATGAAGGCCCTGAAAGAGGAATCCTAGGAGGTGGAAGGCAGGGGAAGAGGGCAGGCACGATGAGCACTGGAAGTTACAAGTTCAGAGGCAGTGGAAGTGAGGGAGGGCGAGAACGGGTGGTAAGTGCTCTTTTCAGGAGTACGGCTATGAAGCAAATGAGATCGGGGGCTGGGAGGTCGCCCTTTATTAAGGTAGGAGAGGAGCCAGTCAAGCAGCCGTGACCACAGGAAAGAGGAGTGGCAAGTCCAAAGCTCCGGGGGTGTAATTCTACTCGAGCAGAAGGACCGCGCTCTCTTCTCTGACAATGGAAGAGAGGTGGGACTGGGCAGAGGTATAGGTAGAGATCTTTGGAGGGACAGGGCTAAGAAATGGGGTGAAGTGATGCTTGGTGGCCTTAAGTCTACTGTGAAGGTTTGAATCAGCTGCTAAGAGAGAGAGAGAGGGAAAGGGTGGGGGGGGGCCGGGGAGAGCAGTAGCTGTGCAGACAGGTGACGGACGTGGCCAGGGACAGGGGCTGAGCAGGCTGGGGTCCCCGCTCACCTTGGAGACCTGCATGTGTGGTGGCCCCAAACTGAGGGCTGTGATTTCCATCCGCAGTGCTCATGTGATGAACAGGGAAAACCTGCTGGCTCTGTACGGCCTTAGGACACGTCCCCCATCTCGTCTTGGTAATTTACAAAATAAGTATCACCAACTACTCGAGGGTCCCAGAGCTCCCCTGCATCATTATGAAGGTTTTTGAAACTTGCCTATATATGTCTAGAGAATTCTTTACAATAGGCATTGTGCCTGCCAAACCTTAGTTTGGGGATTCCCGTTCACTCTAAATTTCCTCAAACCTTTGTAGTCAGGGACACTTCAAAGCTAAAAGGAGGTACTCTTTCCAGCACCCTTATCATCCCTGGTCTGAGGACCCAGCGAAGTCTCATGTTCCCATTAATCTTTAAGGAGCTGCGGGCCATATGTCCTCCAGACCACGGTTTACTTCCTACCCTGGAGGAAGATTTGTTTGAAACCCTCACTGACATCTCCTCAGTAACACACCAGGACATATAAATCACCGGGGAGCGTGGGGAGCTGTGTCTTCCGATGAAAGGAGGCAGCCCTCCTGTAGGAGAGAGCTTGTCTCCCAGAAGCCTTTCCTCAGCCCTAGCTCTGACGTACTTGATGTGAAATTCAAAGCTGACCTAAAAAAGCAGAATTAAAACACCGTAAAATCCCCATTATGCCGCAAGGGAGAAAACTCACTTAGCTGTTGTCAGTCATAGGTACGCCCCTGCCTCGGTTTTGTAAATAGGACCGTGTCATGTGGTATAATTTTGAGGTGCAATATGGGAGGGAAGAGGCAGAAAACCACTTTATAATCACCCAAAGAAGTATTCTTTGGATCAAGAGTTATCAAAAAGACCTGAGAGCATGCAGGCTGCAAAATTCTCATTGCTGTGGGTTCTCTGGGGTCGTGTCCCCGGCTCACATCCAGTCAGAAGGTGTCTCAGCCAGAGGCCCTGCAGCGGCAGCTGTGGCTGAGAGCCGGACTTGAGGGGGAAAATATCTTTAGATTCTCAATAAATAAGTAAAGGCATGAAAAGTAAGCTTAGGTTGATCATTTTAAGTCATAATTTTGACCCCATCAGGGAAATAGTTTAGAATCTTGTCATAGTGTATGTGATTTCAATAGCTGATACAGCCTGAAACCTTATTTTTGTCAGAGCTAGGCAACATTCTTCTGAAAAATTCCAAACCAATAAAGTACAAAGAAAGCATCGTAGTTACCATTTAACTAATATAAACATTGTGAAGTATACTTTAGTCATTCAGTCAGCAAGTACTTAGTGAGTTTCTAGTACATGTCAGACGTAAGAATTTTGGTGTAAAGCACAGTGAACAGAAACGCAACACAACCCTTGCCCTCAAGGAGACTGCGTTTGGAGGAGATAATTCATCAGCAAGTAATCACATAGGTCATTTCTTGTCGTGAACTCTGATAACAGCTCTGAAGGAAAGGTAGGTACAGTTGTGCTGTCCCCAGCAGACCAGTGTGAGAGGCCAAGGAGTGTGTCCCTGGCCAGTAGACCGTGCGTCTGTGCCCTCACGGAGGAACAGGCATTAAGTAGACAAGAGAATAGGAGAGTTTTCTTGGCAGAAAGAACAGCATATTCAGAGCTTTGGTGCTCAGAGGGTGCACGTGGGCCTTTCAGGGACCTAGCTGCCAGTGTGTTGGTAGTGCCAGAGGAAGGAAGAGGGGGAGGGAGAGGAGGCCAGTGAGGCAATTCAAGGCCAAACCTGGCAAGATCCTGTCGCTCCAATCAAGGATTTCCGTTTTTATCTTAGGAGCCATGGAAAGTGATTGAATTATTCATGAAAAGCAGTTACTGAGCCAAAGAAGAAGGAGCAGTTTGAACCCCAAAAAGCAGATTAAAATGTTCCCTTTGCCAGTAATTTCTCTTCTACGAAGATCCAGTAAATTCTCATGATCTTTGACCCTTAGCAGAAGTGTTTAGCCAGGTCAGCCTCAGCTGTTTTCTTCTCCAGTGAGCTCTGTACCTTACGGAGCGCTTTCACATCTGACAGTCCCCATTCTTTCAATTATTCAACAGGCTTTTGCTGAGGACCTATCAAAGGCCAAACCCTTGCCCCGAATAATGTGTAATTCCCACCTTCCAGGCACCTGAGTAACTAAGTAAATGCAGTCAAGTGTAGTAAGTCTAACACAGCGCCTTTGATCACTGCAAAACTTCTGAGATAGTCGGGGCAGTCATTTTGATGTTTATGTTACTGATGAGAGGGTTGAGTCTTAAAGAATAATCCGCTGGGTTCTTCCTAATTACGTAGCATCAGGCTGGAACCTGGGTCTGCGCACTTGTGGCTTGGTCTTGTCTTTCCTCCACCAAGTTGAGGTCACTGCCATGTGGAGTCCTGCCCTGGCTACAGACTTTGCTACCTGACAGTCAGTGAAAGCACGGGTTAGAAGAGATTTTCTAATTTCCCCTTTTCCCTAAAACAAGAGTCCCCTCCATGACATCCCACCTTGGAAGACTCCCAGGGTACCAGCAGGGACTATGAGAAAGTTTCTGCTTGTATCAAACCAAAAACTCTGTCTGTAGCATCCATTCATCCTTCCTTGTGTAGCCCTCTGGGGCATCACAGAATATTTTCTTCCCCTTTAATACAGCCGCACTACAGTTATTTGAAGGCAGCTTCAACATCTTCTCTAAGTGTTCCCTTATCCAGGCCAAACATTTTTGGTTCCTTGAATCATTCCTTCAGTAAATGTGATTTCCAGACCCATCACCACAGTTACCCTTGTCTGAACACACTAGTGTGTTCTGTTC